GGTTTAAACACACCACCGGGGCCAGCTTGCTGTGGCAAAACGCCACCGTATACAGAGCAGACTCCAGCAGGACTGAAAATAGTGCTGAGAACTTAGTTAAAGCATGGTCTTCCACTCAATATATCCATTCGATAAATCTCCGTACAGTACCTATATCCTTTCATTACAGTTGAGAACTTCCAAATTGCAGAAAATAGCAAACCAGCCGTGGCATGTCCCAACATAGGGCTGAAGCTGTAGTTTGGAAGTATGGAATCCGTTCTTTGTGGATAGGGTGCTTGTATCTTGGAGTTCCCAACCTGGGTGTGCAATGCTGCATGGTGCAGCCACGCATTGTGGAGTTGGAGGCCCCTAGTGCCCTTTTTGAGACCCCAGCTTGTCTACGTGCCAGAACCACCAATAATAATGCAGGTTTCCATAGGAAAGTCGTCATTGCTATGGTTTGTCAGCGTTGCCGTCCAGTTGTGCTTGTTGTTGACTGCTCTGTTGGAGGTATGGGCCAGGTGTCTGGCAGGATGCCACTGGTAATTCGAATTAGAGGGTCGTCTCTGCGGGAGTGCTGGGTTGGCTGCATTGAGGCCTGGAGTCAACATATATCGGAAAGGGATTATATAAACAGCACAACTTACATTTTGGCGAGTATTTTCTTTGCATCCAAGCTAGCCCAACCAGCAATGCCAGACCTGCTCCATACGCCCGCCCCTCTCTGCGCGTGTTCAGCCTACACTCCAGCCGGCAGCAGATTTGGCAAATTTGCAGCACCGAGATGCCTCCAACCTAGTAGCGATGGCCTCCAACCTGAGAGCGATCGTCTCCAACCATTTTTCTGACATTTACAACGAATTCTAGATTTGCCTTTTGTTTGTCCGCTGTGCCGCAGATGCCGATTTACTATTTTACGTTTCTCCCCGTTGCAAAAGCAACTCCACAACCCAAACCCACACTGCAAGCCAGCACGGTGGACCTGCTCCCCACTTAGACACGCCAGGATGCCTTTGTTTGTGTTTGCGCACCTTATCAATGCTTTTTAAACATGTGTTAAATGGTTTTGAGCAGGGGGAGGAGGACGGAGTCTACAAAGTCTGCCAGTTCCAGCAATCGAAACAATTTTGCCGATCAGCTGAGTTCGTGGTCCACTCAGAGCTCCTTGTTTTGCTTGCCTTCGTCTGGAGCTTAAAAGTCTCAAGAGGGTCTGAAGCAGCCATCAGGTCTACGTGTGGAAACCTCATGCATGCCTTTTTCTGTTGCCAATGTGGACACAGGATGAAACAGGCTCCACATGCACAGGCTTGCGTGTCCGTGCGCGTGCTAGACTTGACACACCAAGCTCACAATCCATGAGAATCGTGTGGTATGTGGCTTGGTGGGCCTACAGGGCCTACTACACCCTATTGATTTCACCACCCTTTGGAATAAAACGTATCCTCCACCAGTGCGACGCTCAAATGAGAAGGATTAATCGGCACACCAAGGCATGGCAAAGGGCCAAGAGGCGGACGGATTTCATCAGGGCAGTGATGCAGTTGCACATTGTGTCGGACACCCAGTGCAGGTGCGCTACGAACGGGGCTCCTGGCATTGCTACTAGGGGCTCCTGGCATCGCTACTAGGAGCAAGGACGCCACTAGGAGCAAGAAGCTACTATATAATTAGGTTGGAGGCCATCGCTAGTAGGTTGGAGGCCATCCCTACTAAGGTTGGAACAGTGTAACATGTTTGTGAACCACCGAGGCTAGGCCTGGTTGCATGGTTCGCCGCCTTGGCAGCGCTTCACTCAACTGGCCCAGTTAAACAATTCTTCATTTTGTTTTTGGCACTTTCTTTTTCACCATGCTTAGCTTGTGCCCAGGTGATGCTGCTAGTAGGAACTCTCGCGTGGGAGTCACAGGCTCAGACATTCCTCACCGTGCTGCGGCTCAGAAACCTAATGGCAAATGGCCTCCACCCCAATAATACTAAGAGATCTAATAGCAAAAGGAACCTAGAAAGTAATGGCCTCCAACCTACTAGCGATGGCCTCCAACCCAATAGCTGGCGGCCGTACTGAGGCTTCCACACATGGAGTTTCCACCCAACGTATCTTGGAGCTACCAACTTGGCACAACAAGGGCACGCTAAGGGGAAGGAAGCGAATGGAGTTGTTTTGTTATCAGCTACCTCCAAGATGCATGGTGATTCGGAAGGTGGAGAATTGTAGTGATGTGTCATGTGCCACTAGTAACAAGTGCCTCGCTACTAGTAACAAGTGCCTTACTAGTAGTAACAAGAAGCTACTGGTTACTAGTAACAAAGGGCATCGCTACTAGGAGCAAGGACGCTACTAGGTGGTGTGCTGTTGTTGGTTTCTTTTTTAGTGCCATGCTGTCATGCTGGCTGTCATGAGTCATGTGGTGATTTGGCTGCAGTGCAAGGGTGGTGATGAGTGATGAGACAATGCATTGTGCGGTGACATGTTCTATCGTGTGGTGATGTTTCTTTGTTTCTCAAGGGTTTCGACTTCTTTGTCTTGTCAATGCCAGTCTCCGGAAATTGCTACTTACTCCTCTTTCTGGACCTTCTTAGAGCTTTTCTGCAAACTTTGGTTCTTTGGTAGTTTAACATAGTTTCATTAAGTTTCACTAGTAGTAGCTTCTTGTTCCTAGTAGTAGGGCCAGGAGCCCCTAGTAGCGTCCTTGCTCCTAGTTTAACATAGTTTCATTAAGTTTCACTGGACATCTGGACACTTGTGGTTCTATCTAGACTCTACAGATGCCTTCTTTCCGATACTCTTAGCAAGCTTGGCTTTTCCATATTTCACTCCGTGATACGCTGGGTAAGTATTGAATTCTTGACGCTTCTCTAGAAATCTTTGCTTTGCCGCTAGGTGTTTATGCAGAAATCGGTGCCTCCTTTTCGTGGCTTTTCCGCTCGGTAGGAACCGTTGTTTCATGTTGTTTCTACCCTTTTTGTTTGGATCTCTTCACTTTTCTCTTCATCTCTAGTTTTGTATGGTGCTCCTCTCCAGAAGTTTGCCTTGGTAGCGTGGGAGGGCTGGTGGAGAAGTGAAGAACGTCAAGCTATGAAGTGTTGACCTTTGCTCGATATCGCCAAGATGTGTCCAGGTGTTGTTTGGGCGGTCTCCACATCGGTGCTATGTCCCGATGTGGCGCGATGTGGTTGCATTGAGTTGTCATTCGTGTTGTCACGTGATGCCGTCTCAGGTGGTGCGATGTTGTTGTAGGATGTGCTTTTGAGGTTGTCAGGCCTCTCTTACTCAGACTCAAGCAGCCGTCGCGCAAGAGCAACCCCACGGCACACGTAAAGACTTGAGGAATTTCAGGAACGGAAGTTGTTTTTTTCCCGAAAGCATTGCGAAGGGTTCTTCCGGAAAATCCTTTGAACACTGACACTTCGACACTTGCACTTCGACACTCACACTTACACACACACACACCGTGGAAGAGCGAAAGCATCCAAGTGCGAAGTATGCCAGTGTCAAAGTATGCAAGTGTAAGTATGCAAGCATGATATGCAAGGGTGAGTAGGCAAGTGTGAGTATGGAAAACTAGCACGGGAGATGTCCTAATGAAAAAACATTTCCCCACTTTATAAATTCTCTCTTAAAGGCGGAGTGCGGGACGAACAGCGTCAACCGAAAGTGCAACCCTCTGCGGAGATCGTGCGTGTCGAGTGCGCGAAATGCAGGCGAGAGTGCGATGTGCCGGCTGTGCGCGCAACCCTCTGCGGAGATCGTGCGTGTCGAGTGCGCGAAATGCAGGCGAGAGTGCGATTGGTGCGGTCCGCGCGCAACCCTTTGCGGAGATCGTGCGTGTCGAGTGCGCGAAAGCAATCTGTGGAGCTGGAAGCTGAGAACTGGCGACTTTGTAGTACAACTTTAGTACGCAGAGTAGCTGGGGAG